TTTTTTTAATGGAGTTATTGCTGATAGTCATAAATTCAAAGGCTTTGTATTAAATAGCAGGTACCGATCCTGATGGTTGTTGTGTACTTTCTGATTAGTGGACAGTCAAGAATATTCTCTGCAGAAATTGTGATCTCTGAGAGAGTAATTTCCTACTCCTTTTCTAGCTACTGCCAAAGCAAGTGAAAAATGGCAATGCAATGAGTATGTACCTATGAATAAGATTTGGAGTCAGCTTGCTCTCCCTTTGGAGTGTATACCCAATGTGATTTATTCCTGTTCTCCTCGCCTTCTTCAAGGCCTTTTTTATGTCTTTTAAAGCATCTTCACAAAGCTGCTGTATGAAGATTTGGAGGGTATAATGTCTCTGCATACCCCTGTTTTGTTATGAATTGCTGTAACTGCTGCTGTACTCTCCTCAACTCAGCCAGATCTCCTTTTTGGCAGGGTCGATGTTTTGACGTTTTTGGCAGGGTTGACGTTTCTACATCAGTTTTCCTAAACAGCTTCCCTTGGTTGTAGTCATCATGCAAAAGGGAACTTGAGAAGACAAGAGCTGCTCATTTAATTGGTAAATGAGCGTCAGGCTGGGAAAAACAGGAGGCCTCAGACTGACCAAACTAAGACGGACAGATCTTTTATGATGGCCTTGGTTTGGTGACAAGCAAGAGGTAGTAAGATAGGGTAGGAAAAAATATTGCGGTCCTGTGGTGAATGCTACTTGTCCTTCTGCTTTGTTTTACTTCAGAGAACTTTTGTTTGAGAATCCTTTGGAAGCCTTACCTCAGTGCACACCTTATCCCTCTGCAATTGTTCAGGTTTTGAATACCAGCAGCCAAGTAGCCACAGTGTTTAAAGTGCCATCTACTTACATTAGGTAGAGTTTCCAACTTACTGGTTGTGCTCTCGTTCAAGTTTGTTGTCTATGTTTTGAGCAACTACTGTAAACCACCCAAATAGTTTAGGTTTGTGGTCAAAAAAGCCTGATTCTAAGCTCTCAAGCTTCAGCTCTAAAAACGCCCCAAAGAACCAGGTTCAGCATGGTCTGATTCCTAGGGGATGTGTATTTGGTTTCTAGGGAATTAAATAAAGCCCTCATGTGCTACTCACTTGTTCTTCTTGTGAAAGATGCGAGAACACCAGCCAGAAAGAGTTGTCCATTACTGTCTGGTATTTGTAATAAAATTCTTCTCTGTATGTTGTCTCGTGAAATTACTAGAAAGAGTTCTCCATTACTGTCTGGTATTTGTAATAAAAAGAGAAATTTCTTCTCTGTATGTTGTCTCGTGAAATTACTTGTGAAATTAACGTCAACTAGGAAAATAACAACTGCGGAGTTGCCTGCTCCAGATGCAGCAAGCTTTTTGACAGCTGATAAAGCACGTCTTCTGCCCCTGATGTGCGCTGTGGCCACGCAGACCCCCGAGTTCCCCCTGCCCACCGCCGAGGCCCAGTGGCCACCTTCAGCAGTTCCACTGGTGGAAACAGCCCTCGGGCTGCCTCCCACTCCTGCCAGGTACACCCGAGCCAGCTGCCTTAAAAAGGCACGATGTTGTTCCTGCCAGGTACACCCGAGCCAGCTGCCTTAAAAAGGCACGATGGAAAACTAGAATTTTACGTACTAGTTCATCTTTTTTTTTTTTTTTTTTTTTAGACACGATGGAAAAATAGAATTTTATGTATTAGTTCATCTGATTTTTTTTTTTTTTTTTTTTTTTTTTTTTTTAAATAATGATAACGAGGGGGAGCCTCCCACTGG